ATATATATATATATATATATATATGTATATATATGTGTGTAAATGACTTGGTATGCAATTAATCGTGGTTAATTTTTGCGCAGCACTAGAAATTTTACATTTTATTGGATTGAATTTCTCGTAAAAGCAAAACTTTTCCCTCCTTGCTCTAGCAGCGGGGCAGCCTAATGGTTAGAGAGTTAAACTTGCGATCCAAACGTCACAGGTTCGAGTCTTGGTACCTGAAGGGATTGTTTGTGGGAATATCCACCTCAATACCACAGCTGAGGTGATTCCTTGAGCAAGGCATCAAAGCCCTTGGTGTGTGGTAATGGGTGTAAGTCACTTTAGATTAAAGCATCTGCTAAATGTAAATGAGGGAACCCTGTTCCTGGAGATCAACCTTCCTGCTGATTTCAGTTGCAACCCATATCAAACACACCTGCCTGTAATTATCCAGTGCTGTTCAGGTCCTTATTAACTGGTTCAGGTGTGTTTGATCAGGGTTGGAGCTGAACTCTGCAGGAAGGTAGATCTCCAGGATCAGGGTTGAGCAGCGCTACTGTAAACTCTCAGAGCACAAACAGTTCATTTGTATAATCAGCACCTGTTGTGTGTTGAATCGCTGAATGCCTCCTCAATTATAAATGCTAAATGAATCACAGTTTCTAACACTTGCATTCCTCTCTCCGTTTTCCACAGGTTGCAAGATCAAAGCATTACGCGCAAAAACAAACACGTACATCAAAACCCCGGTGCGAGGAGAAGAGCCGGTGTTCATCGTGACGGGACGGCGTGAAGATGTGGAAATGGCCAAACGGGAGATCATCTCCGCCGCTGAGCACTTCTCCATGATCAGAGCCTCACGCTGCAAAGCCGGCGCCAGCGCTCCCGGGTCCAGCGGCTCACTCCCTGGCCCGCCAAACCTGCCAGGACAGACCACCATACAGGTGCGCGTGCCCTACAGAGTCGTGGGCTTAGTAGTAGGCCCTAAAGGAGCCACGATCAAGCGCATCCAGCAACAGACGCACACCTACATCGTAACACCGAGCCGAGAGAAAGATCCTGTGTTTGAGGTCACAGGCATGCCAGAAAACGTAGACCGTGCCCGAGAGGAGATCGAAACACATATAACTCTACGCACCGGCGCATTCGTGGATCTCCAAGGCGATAATGACTTCCATAGCAACGGGACGGATGTTAGTTTAGAGGGTTTGGGTGCGCTGGGATTGAGCGGTGCTCTTTGGTCACGTGCAACTCACAATTCTGCGGCTCCGCCGCCTGCCATGCATCGCAAAACGTCCTTCTCGAACGCGGAGTCGTTTTCCACTACACGCCGCGCAGCAGACGGAGGAAGCCCGACGAGTCCCTTCAGCACCAGCAGCGCAGGGGGAAGCTTCTCTTTTGGAGGCGACTCGACTCCTAGTTTGCCGGCGACCAATGAAGATTTGGGTTTCGAGTTTGGCGCTGCTAATATTTGGGCGCCGTTTGTTAACGGTGCAAAGCAGCCGCCTCAGCCTGTCCGGCGCAATAGCAGCGGCCTCAGCGGTGGAGCTGTAACTCCACGTCTATCACCCGACCCCGATCACCCTCTCGCCCGCAGAGCCCAAAGCGACCCGCTCAGCACTCTCTCCTGGCTCCAAAATGGCGGCGGCGGCGGATCGTTTTCTGGAGGAAGCAGCAGCAGTAGTGGAGGAAGCACAACCGGGTATTCGTCCTGCTCTGCGTCGTCGCTTCCTGGTGGATCTCCGACCGACTCTGAAGGCGGCGGCAGTGGTGTTGGCATCTCTGCTACTATGCTGAGTCGCCTGAAAGCAGGCGCTCTAGCTGGAATGGTTCCTCGAGATTGTTACGTGTGCTGCGAGAGCGAGGTGACTGCTGCGCTGGTGCCCTGCGGACACAATCTGTTCTGCATGGACTGCGCCGGTCAGATCTGCCAGTCTTCTGACGCCGAGTGCCCGGTGTGCCACACTCCTGCCACACAGTGCATCCGCATCTTCTCTTAAAGACCGCCTTCATAGGAGCGACCGCAATGATTAGATATGACACTATTCTTGATTTATTGACAATAATAATAATGATGATGATGATAATAATGACGTCGTTACCCACTCAAGTACTTGTTTTATTTGTCTTACTAGCGCTCATGTTCATATTCGGTGGGTTTTTTTCTCCAGCTCATGCTTCCCTTTTTCTACTCGCAGATATTTTTCAACTTTTACGCTGCACTTTTTTCTAATGCATTGTGTTTGTTTTTTAGAGGGTTGCCGATTTTTAAATTATTTTTTAAAAGTTGTTTTTGTGTGTGTGTGTGTGTGTGTGTGTGCGCATTTTTTAAATGCAGCGCCAGACTGCGAACGCTCATTTAGACCAAAACGTTGAGAGGTTATTCCTGTAACACTTAATATTTATACGTACTAGTTGATGTTGAATCTGAGATAGCTAGAGTAGTACATGTTATAAGTATCATAACCGTGCATTTTCTCTTTTTGCCACACTACCTTAAAACACGACGATGACGGTGTGTGTTGTTCATTCCAGCAGTCTACACTCCTGAAACAGGGTTGCCAGTATTTGGATGAATCTGTTACGCTTTTCTGTGCCGAAGTGAACGGCGCCCTCCATCTTCAACTCGAATGTTTTTTTTGTTTGTGAATGTGTGTGTGTGTGTGTGTGTATGTGTGTGTGTGTGTGTGTGTGTGTGTGTGTGTGGTCATCCTGATTTGTGCACTGCGACACACTGAAATGTCTTTGGCTGGAGTTGGAGTCTGTCTTCCGGCTGTCGCACTTAGTCCCGCTGTGGTTTTCCTCGTCCGCCGCCTATAAACGTAGCCGCTGTTTCTGACATCCGTAGCCCCGTTTTACACACAACAAGCCATGAACTCACTCTAAAGGGCTTCCGGTTACACACTACACTTCAGGTTTTCGCTAATAAACAGGATCTTCAGTCCCGCTCGAGTCTGTGTGGCAGCTAAATCACGCAGGGCTTCCGTACGTTGTTTTTCCTGAAACGCGGGGGACTTTTTGTTTTTCAGACATCCTCGTTCGCATGAGTTGTACAGATTCCATTGAGGACTATTAAATGTGCCAGACTTTGAGAGCAGTCAGCTAGAGCTGTGGTGATGATCGCAGGCATTGCAAATCGAGACCGTATTTTGCATCGATTCTGAAATTTCACAAATGCATTGCGATCCTCTCTTGAATGCGTTCTGAAATTAGGTTTGACCAACAGATGGCGTCGTATGCTTTACAGACAGCCTCCAATTCATTCACGCACCACTCAAAGTATAGTAAGGAAGGTTTAAGGGAATTACAGGAGCATGCATAGTAAGCTGTTTACGTTAATCTCATGGAATTAAAGTCAAGATGCACCTACATTTGACCACTTGCATGACTAATGCACAATACAGACTTATTTCTGGGTATTTGAGTCTGCTGTTAGCTAGCATTTAAGCGCCATCTGCTGTTATAAACTAGCCTAGAGCGCCATCTTCTGTTAAAAACTAACTTAGAGTGCCATCTGCTCTTATAAAACTAGCTTACAGCGCCATCTGCTGTTATTAAACTAGGCAAGAGCGCCATCTGCTGTTATTAAACTAGGCAAGAGCGCCATCTGCTGTTATTAAACTAGGCAAGAGCGCCATCTGCTGTTATTAAACTAGGCAAGAGCGCCATCTGCTCTTAAAAAACTAGGCAAGAGCGCCATCTGCTGTTATTTAACTAGGATACAGCGCCATCTGCAGTTTAAAAACTAGCCTAGAGCGCCATTTTCTTTTTATGTCTAGCCAAGAGCACCATCCTCTGTTACAGTCTAGCCTAGAGCGCCATCTGCTGTTATTTAACTAGGATACAGCGCCATCTGCTGTTTAAAAACTAGCCTAGAGCGCCATTTGCTTTTTACGTCTAGCCAAGAGCAACATCCTCTGTTACAATCTAGCCTAGAGCACCATCTGCTGTTATAAAACTAGATTACAGCACCGTCTGCGGTTAAAAAAAAAAAACTAGCCTAGATCACCATCTGCTTTCTACATCTAGCCTAGCGCACCATCCTCTGTTAAAATCTAGCCTAGAGCGCCATCTGCTGTTATAAACTGGCCTAGAGCATCGTCTGCTGTTAAAACTAGCTTAGAGCACAATGTGCTCTTACAAAACTAACCTACAGCGCCATCTGGTGTTATAAAACTACCCTAGAGCGTCACCTGCTTTTTACATCTAGCCTAGAGCATCATCTGCTGTTCAGAACCATCCCAGAGCACCATTTGCAGTTTACAAACTAGCCTAGAGTGCCATCTGCTTATTACATCTAGCCTAAAGTGCTATCTGCTGTTAAAAACTAGCCTAGAGCACAATCTGCTGTTTAAAAACTAGCCTAGAGCGCCATCTGCTTTCGACAATTAGCTTGCATTCCATCTGCTGTTAAAAACTAGCCTAGAGCACCATCTGCTTTTTAACAACTAGCTGAGAGCGCCATTTTCTGTTTAAAAACTAGCCTATAGAGCGCCAACTGTAGTTTAAAAGCTAGCCTGCTGCGCCATCTGCGTTTTACATCTAGCATAGATCATCATCTATTGTTCATAACCATCCTAGAGCATCATTTGCAGTTTAAAAATTAGCCTAGAGCGCCATCTGCTTTTTAAATTAAGCCTAGAGCGCCATTTACTGTTCAGAACCATCCTGGGCACCATGTGCGGTTTAAAATCTAGCATAGAGCGCCATCTGCTGTTCAAAACAAGATCAGAGAGAATTGCGATGTGTTGTGAAAATCTCAGAAACGATCCACGAATTGCACTGCTAAAATGAAAAACAATAATAATACTAATAATGAACGCATCATCACAGCCCTACAGTAAACGGTGCCTTGGTGGTGAAAGTCGCTGCCGAGAAAACGAAGATTGTGTCGAACCTTCTCCGCTCTTCCACTTTTGAAGATTGGCTTCGGAGTATTTGTACAGAATATCTGAGCCTTGTTTAGTTTGTTTGGGACTGTGCTTTGGAAACACAAGCATGTTGTCGGTTGCGAGGAACAGAAGCTAGCTAGTTTTCGGTTGTGTGTGTGTGTGCGCGTGTGTGTTTTGGCGATGAAGGTCATGTTGACCTGAGGTTGAATCTTCTCTTGTTTTCCTCTAAAAGGCTTCAAACAGGGTTCACTGAGGCGAATCTCAGGCATCGGAACGACGTCAGACGCTGTTTCCCCATCAATCATTTTCTTGCCCTGAAATCGCTCTACTCTTTCCTTTACGTTCGCTTTAATTCCTTTTGTACGCCGAACCAAAAGTGATTTCAATAACGGAGTTTCAGGCCTAATTGTAAATATCCTGGATACAATCATTGGGATTAGTTTTTTCCACAGCTGAAAGGTTAATGTAGTTTTTAAGAACATGTATCATTATTTGTAAGTTAAACTCTCTGCATGTCTTGAAGCCATGAGGCGTTAGCTAATAATTTTTCTAAAAACGCAAAGGCAAAAAAAAAAAGAAATTAAAATGGACAAACCTTTTTTACACATTTTATTTTTACAATTTATTTGCTTACCTTGACATGAATATCCCAGATTATAATGTGACCCTTTTTATTACAGCAAAGTTCTCTTTATTTTCCATGTTTCTGTTCTTTCCTGTGTATTACATATAGGCAATTTATAACAAAATGAGAAAAAATTATTGAAGAAATTTTAAAATTGAAATATATTTTATTTGAAAGTTTATGGACCTTTTAACCGCGAGCTGGAACACTTGTGTACGCGGCGTATCATTTGAGCTGACTTGACGGTTATGAGAAATGTATCAAGAGTTTTATTTTTTATGCTTCTTTAATAAAATCTTGTTTTTTTGTTTCCGTTTTTGTACTGTAAAACAATAATTCTGTGTGTCTGTGTCTTTATTTCTGTGACTTTACAGCTGTACTCCATGCAATGTGGGATATTAGGACCATTGGGAAGTTAATAAATGAATTTTTGTTGTTAAAACTAGCTTAGAGCACCATCTACTGTTACAAACTAGCCTAGAGCACCATCTAGTGTTAAATACTAGCCTGGATGATGCTCTAGACCTGCTTTTTCCATCTAGCCTACAGCGCCATATGCTGTTTTATACTAGCCTAGAGCGCCATCTGCTGTTTTAAACTAGCCTAGAGCACCATCTGCTTTTTACATCTAGCCTAGAGCACCATCTGCTGTTTTTAACTAGCCTAGAGCGCCATCTGCTGTTTTAAACTAGCCTAGAGCACCATCCGCATTTTCCATCTAGCCTAGAGCGCCATCTGCTTTTTCCATCTAGCCTAGAGCGCCATCTGCTGTTTTAAACTAGCCTAGAGCGCCATCTGCTGTTTTAAACTAGCCTAGAGCGCCATCTGCTGTTTTAAAGTAGCCTAGACCACCATCTGCTTTTTACATCTAGCCTAGAGCGTCATCTGCTGTTTTAAACTAGCCAAAAGTGCCATCTAGTGTTAAAAACTATCCTGGAGCGCCATCTGCTGTTAAATACTAGCCTAGAGCACCATTTACTGTTTACATCTAACCTAGAGCACAATCTAGTGTTAAAAACTAGCCTAGAGCACCATCTGCTTTTTACATTTAGCCTAGAGCGCCATCCGCTTGTTACATGTAGTCCAGAGCGCCATTTGCTGTTTTAAACTAGCCAAGAGCGCTATTTAGTGTTAAAAACTAGCCTAGATGGTGCTCTAGAGCTGCTTTTTCAATCTAGCCTAGAGCGTCATCTGCTGTTTTAAACTAGCCTAAAGCGCCATCTAGTGTTAAAAATTATCATGGAGCGCCATCTACTGTTAAATACTAGCCTAGAGCACCATCTGCTTTTTACATCTAGCCTAGACTACCGTCTAGTGTTAAACACTAGCCTAGAACACCATCTGCTGGTAAATACTAGCCTAGAGCGCCATCTGCTGTTATTAAACTAGCCTAGAGCGCCATCTACTGTTTACATTTAGTCCAGAGCGCCATCTGCAGTTTTAAAAAGCAGTAACCCTGTCATATCTGTCTTTATTTGTGTGACATTAGAGCTTTTCTCCATGTGATGTGGGATTTTTAGGACCATTTGGAAGATTATAAATGCATTTAAAGGTCAAGGTCATCAAGGTCCCATAACATTAAAATAAAGTTGTTTAAATGTTAGTATCAGTTTTATTTGTGTTTGGATATCTATAATCTAGTGTGCTCCAAAACTGACCAAATTCACATTTGGAAGTGAAAATAAACAGCAGTATTGTAGTTTGTCACGTCTGCCTAAATGGATCAACGAGGATTATTCACTTCATCTCATACTTCAGTTTCTCGTCACAACATAACCAATCAAATCTCTAGTGTCTGACATGCCCCGCCCCCCATTATTCTATTTGCTTTTCATTCTGGCAGAGCTGTGAGAAAACAATACTATTGGCTGTTTTTACAAAAGGGGAGGAGCTACACTATGTCCCGCCCTCTCATCGTGTTTTAGTTGAGATTACATCAAACGTTGACGTCATACGTCAATTTGCATATCACTGACGTCATCACGTTCTTCCGTTTCTGTTTGTTTAACAGCCTATGGTTAATAAAGGGGTATTTATAATTGCACTACACTTTATTTAACTAACTTTATTGCTGTTTGAATACAGTATGTCATTATAGATGTGTAGTGAATGTGCAGTAATCTCTCTTATGTAATAAACTCAAGACAAGTTCAGAAATTGTCACTAAAATATCTGTGATTGTGAACAAGAAAAGAAGAAACGGTCCAAATAAATTGTTAAAATAAAGGAGAAGTAGATCGGTTTGACTGTACAAGGGAAATACCTTCACACTGCCTGTGCTAAATCTTTTGTCGTCGGTAAGCAGAGGGGTGATCTGCTCTCGGGCTGCAGGTGGGAGAGGCTGCTGTAGAGGACTGACTGGGCCGCCTGTCAGTGCTGTGAGGCGGGGGAGGGGCCGGCGGCGTCACACGCAGCTCGTTGAGAAGAGTAGGGACGGTACAGTATGGACAAATGACAGTCTAAAAAAAATCTCCAATAACACACAAAAAAGTCGCTAGATTTGTCGCTAGGGGGGTCTGAAAAGTCGCTAAATCTAGTGACAAAGTCGCTAAGT